AATGACATTGCCCCATTTGTTAGGAAATGGAAAGGCTTGGAAAAAATTATATTAAGTGAAGTAAGCCAAGCCCAAAGAAACATAGGTCCCATGATTTCCCTTATTTGCAATATCTAGTATATGTATGAGTTAAGCAGAAAAGGTCAGATAATGTGATGTTAGGAAAAGGAACCCTTAGATATGTATTTTAATGTTTTTTTCTTTCATGCATTTGTTTCTAATGCATTTAAAAGATTATTTCTTTGTTACTTTGTATGTCCCTCCCCCACAGTATAACCCCTGCTTTCACTATATTTGATGCCGGTATAATTTGGGGAGGAGATGGGGAAAAACAAGTCGTTTAAGGATACAGGTGGACCTGTTGCAACAATGAGAAGTACAAGTTGTCATGTCGAAAATGAACTTTACAACTTTGGTGCAGGGGGCGGGGGAAGAATTGGGTGGGGGGGTGGGGGGGAGGCTGGGAAGGGGTGTGAAGGGTAAACAAAGGAGGAGGCTGTAATGCTTGATAAGAAATGTACCCATTATCTTGCCCATGTAATTGTAACCCCTCTGTACAGTATGTTCACAAAAAATAAAAACAAAAGAAAAAAAAAGAAAATACCATACAGAGGAGTTACAATTACATGGGCAAGATAGTGAGTACATTTCTTATCAAGCTTTGTACCCTCCTCCTTTGTTTCCCCTTCCTATCCCTTCCCATCTTCCCTCCCCACTATACCTCTCCATACCCCTCCTCCAAGAGTCAGCATTTTTAAGTGAAGATTGTTTGCCCATTGACCTACTCTATTGGCTGAAAGCTTGAATATGTGTGAAATTTAAACAGCTATATGAATACTTAGTGTTTGCACATTTCTGTGATAATTTAGCAGAAACCAATCTCCTTGCCACATGCATATACATAAAGTTTAGTGAAGTAGTCATGTTTGTATATGTACACAGTCTCCATCTGTGGGTGATGATTTGATCCAAATAAACTAATTTTTGTACTAACTTTATCACTTTCCATTAATAGAAGAGACTTGTACTTTATCTTAGAAGTAATATCAATTACATATATTGATTGCTTGATTTATTCCATTTGTTTTATAAGTTAAAAATTTGTTATATACTGGGTCCCATATAATGATAAAGACCTCTATCTGATTCTGATTTGTTTGTATGTGAGCCTGTATTTAGGCCTTCCTAATACAGATGATACTATGAGTAAATAAAGTATGTTAACATATGCTCAATACAACCAATGATAGCCAACTAAGAGAGTAACAGTGGAAACACTCCAGCACTGATAAACTTCTTGGACACAGACTATTTCTTAATTGTAGAAATTGTTATTCAGTCAATAGAGAATTGACAGGAAGGGATTGAACTAATATAGGGAAGATCACTATGGTTTCTTTTCACATAGATTTAGGCCTTGATTCAGAGCCCACGTAGTGCCCAACTATGATTGCCTATCTTTTGGTTATTAATTAACCAATTAGAGTAGACTCTCCAGTTTTAAGCATTCTGCTTCTTATACACTCAAGAAGACCATCTTCTTGAGGTGTGCTTAATTGAGGTCCTGCTTCTTCATCTGGCTTCTTTTAGATATTACTTGCTTTGCTAATTAAATCATAATTTGTGACCCATAGTTTTTTAAAAAATCATTATAATTTCAAGGTTTTTCTTTATAAATTATAAGTTTAGCTTTTAGCTACTCATCCTTGGGAGTACCAAATCTGTTTCCTCTAGGGACTGTTCAAAGCGAGAAACCTGTTTAAGAGTTATGGGTTCATTTGAATTAGTTCCAAAAATTCTAACAAGCGAATCTATTAAAGCACAATGTGGATACAGAAAAGTGAGGATGTTTCTGCACATATGAATGGCGATGCTGTCTGCCTGATAAATGATCCAAAAGGTTTCTGAAAACCCAAGTCCCTTCCAAGCTCAAGTCTGTCTTCAGCTGCTATTTAGTATTCTTTGGGTCATGTCTATTTTGTTTGTATCTATCATTGCTTATAAGTTTGTGGAAGGCTTCAGTGTCATGGTACCAGGTCAGGAAGATACGGGAGCATACCTCTAACAGAGAAGGAGACATCTGATTTAGGATGATGGTATTTGAATGACTGAAATTATCAAGGGCCTGCCTCACTTGCTTGAACCTCCATCATCCTCTTTACCAAGAAATTAAATCTTTGCTTGGAAAATTACATGGCTTCTGATCTCCATGCATGAATCTCCTTATAAGTAGTTAAAGCAAAGCCATTTTGGTAGTTATACCTCAATTGACCAGAAGAAGAAAAAAAAACTGATTTTGTTTTTGTTATATTGTTGTTTATGCATGCTAATATATAATGGGTTTGGTCAATTTTTGTATAAAAATATAGAAACATCACGTATTTGTTTTACTATGAAGATGTTTTCTCAGCAGGTGATAATACCCAGCCACCATTTGCAGTAGCTATTGGCATTCTATATTACATGTATTGATATTTCATATGTATTTATATTTGGATAGTAATACAGTCTTCTGAAAGATTAATGTTGGGAAGCCCAAGTTGGTTTGTTTCTTGTAGTCATTTGGAGTTAGGACCACGAGCTGACTGCAGTCACCCTTAGAAAATAAATCTGGACTTTCTGTTACAAGAACACTATCCTGGAGGTAGGTAATGTAATGAGTGAGAGGGAATGACAACCGATTATTCTTGTTTTTTTTTTGGGTCCGGTCGTGGGGCCTGAACTCTGGGCCTGGGCGCTGTCCCTCAGCTCTTCAGCTCAAGGCTAGTGCACTACCACTTGAGCCACAGTGCCACTTACGGCTTTTTTCTTTTTGCTTATGTTGTGCTGAGGAATCGAACCCAGGGCCTTAAGCATTCAAGGCGAGTGCTCTACCACTGAGCCAACTTCTCAGCCCAACAACCGATTATTCTTGTGAAATGCTGAAATAGAGCCAACATGTGAAGGATCATTAGCCTCAAAAGTGCTATTGAAATTGGAAAACATTGTTGGCAGAATACAGAATTTAATCTGGATATACAAATAATGTTTTGTTTCAGAGTCTTGGCTTCAGTGTGCTTTTCCCATTTCATCCAAATAACAAGTGATAGATATCATATGACTAACAAAACATTAAAAATTTATTAATGTAATTTATGAGGTTTTTATGTGAATGCCTTTAAGATTATACCGGAAAAGATGTTAGCATACACAAATTCTAAAGTCTTTGATTACATTAATACCTTCTTTAGTAACTGAGTCTCTTGAATGAAATTTTCTTAGTTTTAACTGAAATGCATTAGTTGAAATTCAGGTAAATATTGTTAGTTCCTATATCTCATAAAAGAGTTACTATAACATGTGATTTTATTCTGTCTTTAAGGAGGTATCATGAATTAGAGATATACTTTCTTTTCATTTATCTATGCCTACATTTCCCTTGTGATTCTTATTAACTTGATAGAGATGCCTCTGATTTATTCAGGTACAAAGATTCCAGTGAAACATTAAGAAACAATAATTTTAATATCATTTATTTAGAGTTCACAAGTTCCTGAACAGTACCCTATAAACTTTATATGTAACAACAAAATAGCCCTAAGTTTTGGAGCTAGAAATGCCATTGATGACCACACATGTAAGTAGATGAAACAATTACATGGGGAGTTGCTTAAGTGCTATACTCTTTAGAGTCCTATCTGCTTTTGCACATTGAATAGATCCTGAGTCATTCACCTGTTACAGTAGATATTACATCTCATCCCACTTACCACTGGCAGGATTTTTCAGCAAATTGTAATACACTTGGATATTCTTGTTTGACTGTGTAAATGTTAAAATGAAAAAAAAAAAACCAGTGAGAAACACAGGGCTTTTCTTGTAATGCTGTATGTAGCTGGATTGTAAAGGACTTTGAACTCATCTGTGCATGCTGAGACTAAATTAAAAAAGATTCAGACACAAGCTTTTTAATGAGAGTGTATTAATTTAACTCTAACAATATACTGTTTTGGGGATCTGATAGTGAGTTGTAATTTAACTTCCCAGTATCTTAGATATAAAATCACACCCTACTCTTCCCAACTTTTTAAAAGTTTATATTTTTCTCCCTTTTTATATGTAACTACTCTGGAAATACTAAACATCATACTTGCTGCTGATGTAGTTGGTGGGGGTAATGAGTTCATTTTAAATGTTTTCTAAAAGTCATGTAGATGAACATAAGATGAATATATTAGCAACTGGTATGGGTTAGAATAAAATGAACAGAATAACAGGTTCTGATAAATCTGACAGGGTCATATTTAGACATTGTTATATTCAAAATTGTGTTGAATAATACTTAACAATACTTAACACTTAATATAATTGCTATATTCAAAAATGTGTTAAATAATACTTAACAAATCAAGTCTCTTGAGTTTTCATAAGTCTTGTGAATACTTGATGTACTTTGAAACTTGAAGGCCAGACCTCTAATAGAGCGAGTCACAGAATTAAAATGGATGCTCTAAGACTGATGTTAATTATCATACCATTCAGATCATAGGGTAAAGTTGCTGTCCACAAGTATATCAAAGAGCAGGATTGAGTAATTATTAGTTGATATGTTTAGGCACTAAACCTGCCACTACCTAGTATGTTTTATAAAAGGAGAAATTTTTTTCTCTGTATGTTTGCTGAGATTATTGTCAAATAGTAACCGATTTTATGTAGGAAAGTTTGAATGTGTGAACAATGGATCTATATTTTTCTACTCTTCGCAGTTGAGTACTACTGACCTTATGACAGAACGCTGTACCTCTAGCCTAACAAGGAATTTCCATAGAGAAATAGAATCATCCACAAATAGGTCTACTGGACTTCTTGGAAGAGGAACTCAGTAGATGCTAACTCAGTATTGGCTGGGAGTAGAAGATGTAAGGATGCTGTGCTCCATGACATAAGAGATTGTAGTCTCATTTTTATTTTCACTCTTCTCCTCAGCTCCCATCTTTCTGAAGCAAGCTTTGTGGAGATCAATGGGCAAGAGGTGCAACGTCACAGGATTCGTCCTCTTGGGCCTCACTGTGGATCCAGATGGGCAAAAAGCCTTATTTGTCCTGTTTTTACTCAGCTACGTTGTGACAATGGTGGGCAACCTGCTCATCGTGGTGACCGTTATTGCCAGTCCTTCGTTGGCCTCCCCGATGTACTTCTTTTTGACTTATCTCTCTCTCATGGATGCTCTTTTTTCCAGTGCCACCTCTCCCAAACTGATTACAGACTTACTTTCTGATAAAACAACTATTTCCTTCGACGCTTGCATGGGTCAGCTTTTTATAGTGCATTTGTTTGGTGGTGCAGAGGTGTTCCTCCTGGTGGTGATGGCCTATGATCGCTATGTGGCCATCTGTAAGCCACTGCACTATTTGACCATCATGAGCAGACGGGTTTGTATCATCTTCTTGGTGGTGGCCTGTGTTGGAGGTTTTGCACACTCTGTGGGTCAGCTCGCCTTTGTGTATAATCTCCCTTTCTGTGGCCCAAATGTCATTGACCATTTCATCTGTGAGATGTACCCATTACTGGAACTTGCGTGCACCGACACCTACGCCATAGGCCTCACTGTGGTTGCAAACACTGGAGCCATCTGTATGGTGGTCTTCATCCTCCTCCTCATCTCCTATGGCATCATCCTGAACAATCTCAAGACTCACAGTCAGGAGGGGAGGCGCAAAGCCCTGTCCACCTGCAGTTCCCACATCACGGTGGTTGTCCTGTTTTTTGTTCCCTGCATTTTCATGTATGTCAGACCCGTTTACAATTTTCCCGCTGATAAATTTGTAAACGTTTTTTGCACAGTTGTCACTCCCATGTTGAATCCCTTGATATACACATTGAGAAACTCAGAGATGAAAAAGTGTATGGAGAAACTCTGGTGTGAAAAGTTTCAGGGTCAAGTAAGAAAGTCTCTGTGCTGAACAGGATAGGAATTCAAACGTGGCCAACAGTGACCACATTCTAAGGAAGGTGATGTAGCTTAATTAATTGTGTTGGAATGTATGAGTCTAGCAAAAGATCTCCTGAAATATAAATAAGTTATCCATTAGTTTTGTAATTGATTTTAAGAAAATACAAGTCACAGGTTTAAAAGCTGTATTATTATAAGTAAAGGTATAACTTGTCATCTAATTGTTTTTCTTATTTCGGATTAAGTAAACCTTAAGGAAAGTGTTTTTTTTTCTTTTCTTTTTAAAGCCACAAAAATGAAATAAAATAAAAAGCTACACAATAAGCTATTGGCTTAAAATTTACTATCATCATATTTATAAAAGTAGATTTAAACAAATTTGTGGGACCAAAGGGATTTTGATAAATGTGTTGTTCCTTTTTGATCAACATTTGATATTTTTATCAGGTCACTGCCTGTATATTTTCCACTCAGGATATTTGTGTGACAGATGGTACTGCCAATGACACTATTGTGGAAGTGTTGTTGGATGTGATTGTGGTTGATGACAAAAGCAGACTCTAGTTCTTCTTGAAAGAAAAATACTTGGATTTTAAAACTATGTTAATGTGGTAAACATGCATTTTCAAAATTCCCCACCTAGTAAAATCTAGCTGTTTAAAAATAGTCAAAGTATGTCACTTTGACTTGATGAAATAAATGTGTTGTATGTATAAGTGGAATGTTTTCTTAAGATTGTACTGCAAAAATTTGTAATAGAAATAAAAGGGTATATTTTGGTATAATAATACATTGGCATATAAATGTATGTCATAAAAGAGAAATTTTTTTCCATCTACTTTCATCTTGAAGCATAAAAAAGCAGGAAGTATGTTTATTTATTTTCACTGAAATGTGGTACCTTATCTATATTTTGTGGTTATTTTGCTTTGTGTTGAAATATGTTTTATTTTGCCTAGTTATACAATATGGAATAAGAGCTGTACTAATATCAAAATATTCAATGAAGTGAAGCAAATTAACATGCCTATCATCTCACAGTGTTCCAGTAGTTTTGTTGTTCCAGATACACTACAATTTATATATCCTATATATCTATATCCTGATGTTCACTAAAGAATCAAACTAGCAGATGTGGATATGTAAATAAACTGGTCTAAGGATATTATGCATACTATGCTAATTTTTTCTAATTAGTGATCCCCAAATATTTTGTATTTACAACCTAATTATATCTAATGCAGTTAACAAGAATTTGCACTGGGGAAAGGTAGACCAGCTCAATGAATGGTAATGGATAAAGTGGAAATCCACATAAAGAATGAAGTTCAAACTTTTATTGTTCCTCATCTACCAAAACCAACTCAAAATGGAGAAAAGCCTTCACACTATGAGGTAAACAGAGAAAAGGAGGAAAATGCTGATCAGAATCCAACACATACACTACAATATTAAGAGGAGTGAGGGGAGGGATGGGTAGGGAAGGGATGGGTAAAGATGCTGAAGGAGGTGAAATTGAACAAGATATATATTCACAAACTGCTTTGTTAAAGGGCAACTCCTTTGTACAACTACTTAAAGGTAATATGAGTGAAAAGAAGTTAACAAAGAGGAAATTCTTCAATAGATTGGAATGGGCAAAAGGTTCTGGATAAATCATAAAAGCAACAAAATATTGGCAAATACAAGATTTATCAAACACAAAAGCTTCCACCGAGTAGAGGGAACAGTCTATGACTATTTCTCACCCAATTGACTGGGTGAGAAAGACACATAATTTGACAAAGTGTTAATATACAGAATATATAAGAAACTAAATTCAGTTACTAAAAACACTCTAAACAATCAGTTAATGGAGGAGAAGGACTTCAATAGCTATTTCTCAAAAGATGATATACAATGGCCAAACTAATAAATATCTGAATGTGGGAAATAGACATTCAAATAATTCAAATTGAAATTAAAGGATTGAATCGACAGATTGGAGATCATTATGGTTTCCTTCACCTGGTTTCTTTTAGTTAGAACTTGCCTTAGCTAAGTAGTTCATCATTTGTAACTCATAGTTTTTCAATCATTACAACTTGGAAATTTTCTTTATAAATTATAAGCTCCTATCAGTTGGCACCCAACTACTCATTCTTCACAGGATTTAAGTCTATTTTCTCTAGGGATTGGTCAGGGGGGAAGAAACCTGTTTAGGAGTGATTGCTTCATTTGAATTAGTTCCAGCTATTCTAACAAGCTAACCTATTAAAGCAGAGAGGTGATACAAAAGGTCACAGTCTTTCTTCATGCATAGGTAATGGTACTGTTTTCCTGATAAATGGCTAGAAAGGTTTCTGAAAACTCATCATCAGTCCAAGCTTGAATATGTCTTCAGTTGGTACTTAGCGTTCTATGTGTGTCCTGATTGATGTTGTATCCATGATTGCTTATAAAAACATTTGTGGAAGGCTAAATTTGTTCTAAGCATGTGGACATACTCTGATAAGGAGGAAACACACACCATTTGGGATGATGCTATTTGAGTGACTGAAAGAGCCAAGAGTGTGCTTCTATCTCTGAGAACTTTCATCATCTTCTATACTAAGAAACATAACCTTTTGTATGGAATTTAAACGTGGCCTTCGTCTGATCTAGAAACTAGACACATGAATCTGTGGCAGATTGATAAAGCAAAACCCTTTTCCATGCTTCATCTCAATTGAATGGAAGGAGAAAAAAATAAGTGATTTCATAGTTGTTATATTTTTGTTTATTTATGCTAGTGAGTAATGATTTTGGTCAATTTTTGTCAGGTCAGTTTTTTATAGCCATGGAAAGATCTCATATTCATTTCCCATGAAGGTAAGAGCACCCAGCACCTTGTATACCACCTTGTAGCTATTAGCATTTTATTTAAATGCATTTAGATTTTAGGTGAGAAAGTCTTATAATCCTCTGACATAATGGGAATCCTGTGTTGGTTGGTTTGTTGTAGCCACTTGGTGCTATCTAGGTCAGCTGACCAGCCATAAATTTCTATGTGTTCTATGAAGATTCACAGGCACATGGAACTATCTGAAATCACCCTGAATAAAATAACTTGACTTTTCTATAATGAGGATATTACTTAAGAAGTAAGTGAGTAAAACCTGGGGAAGGGATACTATTTAACTGGTCCTGTGATGCACTAAAATATAGCCAATATGTTAGAGGACATGTAACTTCACAAGCGCTATCTGAAATTGGAAATATTTGTTGGCAAGTCACAGAATTTAATCAGAATATACAAATCATATTAGGTTTTAATAGCATGGCCTGATTGTGTTTTTTCCTATTGTTCCAAATAAGAAATGATGCATATAAGATGCATAACAAAAACACCAAAATTCATTTGTGTAGTTTATGGAATATTATAATTTGCATGATATGTTAACATAGAAATGTACTTATTTTGCATATATTTCAATGATAGTATTTAAATTGGATATTATATAAAATTTGTTAGACTATAAGGGAACACTGAAAGCTAATGCTATCTTTTATGCATACACCTTTATATGATTCCAGCAAATGTGCTAGTATGCATATATAGGAAAATTTATGATCAGATTAGTATATTCTCTATTTCTGTTGGATTTATTAGTTAATATAATATACTATTTGGGTATTTTTTGTAATGGTAAGTCTATCAGTTTCAAAGTCATGTTTGTAAAACTGGCATTAATTTTTATTATTTATTAATCTATTATTTATTATTTTTGTATTATTAACCTATATTACTTGTTAATAACATTAAGTTATTATATCACAAATTATAATTTTATAACATAATTACAATGTTATATATTATTTATTAATAACATTAATAATAACATTATTTTAATGTTTTAAGTGAAATATACTCATGTTATTCTTTCCTTTTTGCATCAGCAACTGTGTGATAACTTACAGGAAAGTTTATATGTTTTAAGTATGATATAGTTTGAAAACTCTATTTTTGCTCTAATATTCAAATAATTAAACTGACAAATAAAAGGATTGCCCTGATGAAATACAGCTCTAAAAAGTGATGAGTAGAGGCATTATGTAGGCAAAAAGATGTTGAAGAGACAAAAATGGACATAAAATATTTATATAATGGTCTTTAGAAGTTGTGCCTTAATTCATCTATATAATCAAGCAAGACTACTCCAAATCATAATATTGAATGGGTCAATATTATGAATGAGACATGTAGAATGTTTCTCACAACTGCTTTTTTAAGAAAGAAACTCAGACTCTAGGTATGTATTATTCACCATAGAATTCCCACAAAAGACATTTTCTTAGTTGCACTTAGTCAAAATACGCTTGTTCACAGAGAAGTATTGCTATGTTGCTGATACGTAGTAAAACATATGGTATTTCTCTTTTGAATCTCAACTCTGAAGTTCTGTTTTGAGCTTCCCCAGTATTTAGTAAAGCTTACATATAGAAACTTAGATCCTGATGTAATAGTTGGTGAGAAAAATGAGTTAGTTTTAAATGTTTGCTAAAATGGGTTAGTTTAAAATGTTTGCAAAAAATCATAACAGGGAAGGTAGGTAAATATGTTAGGAATTGGTATAGACTTGAAGGAAATGGACAGAATTATAGCTACTAATAAAAATGGTGGTTATCAACAGATTTAGTAATTGTCATAACTACAAGTGAACTAAATAATGCTGGAGTTATTTGATACAGTTCAGAGTCAGATTTCTTGATATTTAATGACTCATGTTAATACTGGATCTACTTTGGAACTTGAAAGTGTCTTTCAAGTCCTCTAATAGAGCAATTCATAGCACTGAGTTGGTGTCAAGGACAAATGTAAATTTTGGTGTTACACAGATCATGTTGAAATGTTATTCTCTACAAACATAGCAAGGTGAAAAGATGAATTTATGTTAGTAGTTGTATTTTGGAATTATATGTACTGGAGCATGATAGGTATCATAAAGGGAGAAAAATTTTCCCTGTGTGATTGTTGAGATTTGTGTCAAGTGGTAACATACATAGTTTTAAATGTATACAGGACAGATACACTTTTCTCTACTCTTCTCTCCAGGGAACTACTGACTTTGGGATAGAAGGCTGTACTTGTAGCCTAACCTTGCAATCCAAGAGGAAATAGGATTGTCCCCCAAAAGTGCTGATGTGCTTCTTGGAAGAGGAACTCAGCAGATGTGAACTAAATATTTTCTGTGTGTTCGCCATGTAGTAGACACAATGGAGCTGTCCTCATGATGCAGAGGGTCCTAATCCTGTCCATGATTTCCTGAAAAGTCCTCTTGTCCTGACTTGCTGTCTCTATAGCCAGCCTGATAGAAGAGCAAATGATGGCAGGACGAAACAATGTCACAGAATTTGTCCTCCTGGGCTTCACTCAGGATCCTGATGTGCAAAAAGTATTATTCATCCTGTTGTTACTCAGTTACATTGTGACCATGGTAGGCAACCTGCTCATTGTGGCTACCATTATTGCCAGCCCTTCCTTAGGTTCCCCAATGTACTTCTTCCTTGCTTATCTATCATTCATGGATGCTTTTTATTCCACA